ATGTTTTGTGTAGTTCTAATCGGTAGTTTAGTCTAATGGTAATCGTCATCGCTTTTCAAATTTGGAGTTCGGGAGCGGTCGTGAGTTCAAACCACGGCAAGCAATACATTTCGTAGTCAGTAAAATAGTTAACAGAACAAGCGGGGAGTCAAAGAGCTACCCTGCGATGTAAGATCGCAGAGTCAGAATTTTATTTGCGTTCCAGGGCATAACCTGACAAGACCTTATAACGCCTGGCAGACCCCTCCAGGCCGTATAAGGGTCAAAATGCCTTGTAAGGTCTTGCTAGACCCTAAGGTGCATATTTAAACCTGGCAAGGGTATTTTTTCCTGACGACCTTGTCATGTCTTACAGGGCCTGTGTAGGTCTAACAAGCCGTTTGCGATTTTTCCGACACGAGTTGTGATGATCAAGCGGAATGAATGAATGAAATCACTGACGAGTCGAAAAAAGGGCATGTGCAACGAACTTGAGAAAGATGAAATACATGACGATGTAGACAAAAAATACATATGCTGGAGGACCATCTCAGACACTGGGGTTCGAACCCAGGACAACCTCAAATCGGTATTTCATTCAAGGAAAGTAAGAAGGTTATGTTTCCAACTACACCATGTCTGACTCCTTAACTTGAAATGAGTCTCGAGTATGTATATCACATTGAGAGCTTGGTCTAGAAACCAATGATACTCGTTGAGCGGCTGAGCCAATGCACACTAAAATACTCATGCACCAAATCAACGAAGGCGGGACCATCGTCAAATGAACGTTCAAAAAGACTGGAAGAAACTCACACAAAAAGAAACACCATGAAGCCACATTCAGATACTGGGACTCGAACCCAGGACTGCCTCTATAACGTTGTCAAGTTTTCTATCTAAAGTTACAAAGCCGTGTTTCCAACAACACCCTATCTAACTGATGATTTTTCAGGCCTTCTGTGCCTGTAGACATGCATCATCTGGAGATTCTCCCAAGACTTCAACCCACTCAATGACCAGGAATTTAATTAAGTGGAGTGAATTTTTAACCAGGAATATTCTGGATACGAGCAGGAACTCAAGCAACCGCCACGCTGAAGTACTCATGAGGCGGGACAATCCATTCGGTCGCAATGACAATTGAACGTTGAAAAAATTTGGAAGAAAAGAAAGCCATGCAAAAAAAGAAGAAGAAGAAGAAAAGATAGACAAGGATCATATTCAGATACTGGGATTCAAACCCAGGTCTCCCTCAGACCATTTTCCCATCCGCCTAATGGCAGAGGGCGTGTGTCCAACTACACCATATCTGACCGATCATTGCAATTTTTGTACTAGGCCTCTGGGTTCCTATCTATGCATCGCGGACATTCAACTACGCAAGTTATTCGCCCACTCTGCGAGCTGGAGGGAACATATATTACGTAAGTGAACCCTTGTCATCCAAGCGAATGAGGATCTAAACAAAAAATCTGGAAGAAACCACACCAAGAAGCCACATTCAGATACTGGAATTCGAACCCAGGACTGCCTCTATGACGTGATCGAATTCTGCATCAAATTACGAGGCCATGTTTCCAGCTACATCATATCTGACTGATGACTTGTTGTCCGCTGCGTCCATATACTAGATGCATCATCTGCAAATCCAATCAAGGAATGTTTTCAAGTATGAGTGATCAACCGGAAATTTCGACCAAGAATTCATGTTTAACCAAAGACAGCCTAGACCAATGACCAGCAATTCAACCACAAGATCTGGAAGAAAGCTACGGCCCAAAAAGAAAGAAAGAAAATTGTGTCACCTTCGCGAAATTCAGATACTGGGGTTCGAACCCAGGACTGCCTCTATAACATCGTGCAATTTTGCATTAAGTTACGAAGCCGTGTTTCCAACTACACCATATCTGACTGATGGTTTGGAGACTTCTGGGCTTATTATATACATGTGGATGTTCCACCAAAGGTTCAACCAGAAGGCTTGAAACGAGGATGTTCTTCGATTCTACTTTGACCAAGCCTTCCACTGATGAATCGATGACATTTTGAAACAGCAGTATCCCAACCAACTCTTGTAACGAAAACGAACGCTTAACACGAATGTGTGTCTGTCTCTTTTGGTAAAGAACGAACGAATGGACGAATTAATGAAGGTACGTATATGTAAAGAGCGGAAGGCGACAAAGGATGGGGAAGTGCGAGGGCAATGTCTATGGAGGGCGGATGGCAATGTCTATGGAGGGCGGATGGTGAGGTGTGAGGTCGACTGAATTGTCTGTCAATGAGTGTCTGATCACAAGAGCCAAAGAATGTACGTGCGCGGGTCCGTGCATCTACGTAGCGACAAGGATGATGGTCTGTTAGCATAGCAAAACCGGTATCCTAGAATCAGGAACGACGATTACTCGAACAGTACACGGGAAGGTCTCAAGATAAGTAAGTATGTATCAAATGTCGCAAATAAGTAATCGACTCAAAGTAACGTAACGTCTCCTTCTCCTTCTCGTCCCCATTACACTCCCCTCTCTCTCCCTACCACTCCTCCTTCTCTTCCCCTCCTCACTCCTACTCACTCCTCACTCCTACTCATCAACTTGCGACACGATAGTGCCACATGAGGGGTAACGAAACGGCGAATCAACTAATCATGTTTAAACCCCCCCGTCGGCAGCCCAATCACCGCCGCCCGCTCCGCCGCGAGCATGTCCGACAGGCCAATATAGTACGCGATGAACGCGGTGATGATGCCCATCGCGCCGCCGCCTTTTACGACGCTGAGAAAAAGGGGAGGTGTTAGTATGGGCGTAGTAAGGAGAGAAAACGACGGGGAAGGAGAGAGAAGGCAGACGGCGCGTCGCGCCACACCCGAGCCACCTTGGGCACAAGAGCGCGTCCCGCCCCGCCAACACGCGGCGGCCAAGTGCTCGCTCTCGGCCCGCACGCCCGCCCGTCTGTCCGCCCAGGACGACAAAAACGGAACGCCGCCACTCGAGTCGGACACGCCCACTCGAGTCGTAAAGAGAGATAAAAAGAGGAGAAGAGGAGAGAAAAGAAAGAAACCAAAAACCAGCACCCACCTCGCACTCCCATTAAACTCGCCCACCCCAAGTAACAAAAACGTGATGCTGAGGCACCCAAAGAGCGCGATGAACGCGATGGATTTGCGCAGGGAGACGATGCTGTTGTTAAACGTCAGTTTTTGTTACATCTCAGTATACGCGAGGGATGGAGAGGGAGAAGGGATTGGTAGGAAGAGTAGGAAGGAGGAGGGGAGGGGAGGGAGGGGAGGAAGGGGAGGGAAAGACGGGTCGCGTCCCGCCGCACCCGCGATCGAGCGCAAACATTGGATAAAAATCAACCACTGACGGCGCACACGGCTCCGCCGGCCCGGCGCCAGCAGATCCGGGTGCGGGGCTCCGTGCGGAGCGGGCGCCGAGAGGATGAATAATGCCCATTGGAAACGCCGAGGGATGAATAATCCAAAGGAAGAAATTGAAAATGAAATGGAATGGAAATTGCGCAACAGAAAGGGGAAGATGCGTATCGTATGGGGAGAGGGGTTGTAGTTAAAAAACCCCGGGCAGTGGTGCCGATGAGAACACCACACCACACCGAGGCCGAGCCCGAGCCCGCGTCCGAGCCTAAGCCCGAGCCCGAGCCCGAGCCCGCCCGAGTAGAAATGGAATGAAAAGGACGGGTAGACGCGGCAAACGGGGAGTAAGAACACGGCAAAGGGGGTAAGGTCGGAGGATGAGAAAAAGTGGATACACATCGGAGGAGCACTTGTGGCGCAAGATACAAAGCGCCAACGCCACAATCCCCACCAACCAATCATACCAAGAGAAAAATAATAAGGAGGGAGGATAAACACGAAAAGAGAATAGAGTTAAGAATCGAATTCGGAGGAAGGCGGAGGTACGATCAAGATGGAAGCGCCAAGGACGGGTAGAAGCCAATGGGAAGCAGGAAGGAAGAAAAGAAGGGAAGAAGTGCATAGGGGCGGTGCCAGCGCGTCGCGTCGCGTCTTGTCTCTTTTTCCCGACGACGCGTCCAGTACCGGCGGCCAGGACGCGAAACGTGATGGCGGGAACGCGACGCCCAATGCACGCGATGCCGATGCATCGGGATTGATGACAGACGGGCAATTGAAAGGGGATGATGCAATACAATCGAACGGTGATGGAAATGTCATGTCATGCGGGGATACGATGAAAAAAAAAAGATGATATGAAAAAGTGATAGAGGTCTGGGCGGCTCTCGAGCGCGCCAAGGGGCGGGGGAAGGCCGGGCCAAGTGTGGGGAAGGGTGGGGTGGGGGAAGGTGGCCAGGCTAAGTGTGGGGGTGGGGTGTGGTGTACGCGGATGGAAGAAGATAGAGGTGAAAGTAAACAAGAGGGATGCAGAAAGAGACGGGAAGAAAGAAAGCGACACGCACAAGAACAGGAAGGTGACGATGAACCACGAGAAGAGGTATATGCCGAGCGCGTCGTGGAGCTCCTTGGGCGTTTCGTAGGCTGTGGTGATGCCGGCGCCGGGGATGAAGATGGTCGCGTACGACAGCCAGAATGCGCCGTAGGAGGAGAATGCTGGTGCGCGCTTTAGTGATATTGGAAGAACGCCAAAAGCAACACCACCCACCCGTCGCGCCAAACGTATTCCCGCGCGGGAACTCCCACATGCCCGCAAGCAGCTGGGCCAGGCCGCCGGTGAAGAGGGCCATGCCGACGACGACGTTCGGGTGGTGGATGCCGCGGATGGTGACGTTGTAGAAGCTGAGGATGAAGGTGGTGCTGGCGAAGGAGAAGAGGCCGAGCGAGGCGGGGTTGGCGAGGGTGCTCGGCCGCGGGACGTGCGCGACGCCGGTGTGCTCGCCGTGGCTGCCTTTCTCGATGTCGCTCATGGTGTGTGTTTTGTTAGTCTGTTAAGTAATAGGAAGACTGTGGGAGTCCTGGAGCAGGGACGGAGGGGAGGACAAGGAGAGTGGGAGGGAGAGGGCAAGGAGGGGCGGGTGTGTTTCGGGTTTTGTTGATGAAAAGACGCAGCTGACGCCGCTTCTCGCGCCCCGGATGTCTTTCCGTCCATACCATAATTCAAATCAACCAAGGCACCCACTCGTCTCCGCCCAATCCCCTTCCGTTGTCCACTAATAATTTCGCTTGGCCCTCGCCTCCCCACACCCCACCCCGCACCCCACAGCTGGTCGAGACCCGCACAGAAAAAATCGAGGCCTGGAGGAATTGGAAATGAATGGGGTGCCCCGCGTCGCGTGATGCGGGGCTTGATGAGATGTTTTGTCTTGGATGTCTTGTCCATTTAGCCGGGCGGAGGCAATATCACATTCTGCGGCGTATCCAGCGCGGGCGAATAGCGCACCGTTCCACCGCGTCCTCGTCCACCCTCGTCGCTCACCGTACCCAACGCTCCCTACTCGCGATTCCTCGCCTGCTGCATTCCACGCGCCCACCCGCCATGTAACCGAACGGCGGCGCCCATCCATTCGTTTCGGATGTCTGTCAATTACTACGGTTCTCCGCGCCCTACGCCCTACGCCACGGCCAGCTGGAAGCGAAGCGAACTCGACCTGGAAGCGAAGCGAACTCGACCTGGGTGCGCGCGGTGCCAACCGTGTCCTGGGTGCGCTCTCATCGCATCCTCCGTCCGTCCAAGTCGCATCGCGCCCGCCCCGTCCTTGCTCTTGCACGGCGCCATTCCTCCGCCCGCATCGCAGTCGTCGCCCTTTCAGGTTTAGGCTACTCCGCGCATCACGTAAGTTCTTGCGCCCACATAATGTAAATCGCGCCCACTCTTCCGCCATAGCCTATAGGCTCCGGCTAATGCTAGTGCGGACCCGGTCCACCGTCGGCGTCGGGTCGGGCTTCGACGTGTTGCACGTTCACTGCCCGGCCCGACGACGGTTATTCCTCTTTGAGCGCGTCCTCCTCCATTCAATTGGATTTGACGCTCATTCAATTTAACCGTCGGCGTCCGCGTCGGCGTTCCGTATCCATACCAAATATAATATGCAGATTATTCATTCCGAACGTGCAGAAGATCACCGTTAAGGTGTCATCTCGACAAATGCATAAATCCAATTCGTCGGTAAATCCATTAAGTATCGCTGTTCTCAAATATAAGTGAGCAATAAATTGAATGTGATAGCCTGACGGTTAGGGATGCGTTCGTCGTCTTTCTCGGCCTCCTCTCGCTATAAACACCCTCCCGTTCCTCCCTCGCGTTTGAGATGAACTGCGTGACCGCGCGTCGTTCTTTCGTCTCTGCTTTACAAGAATAACTCAAAGGCGACGAATGATAGCTTGAACGCAAACCGCTACGTACGAAAACTCGCCAACCTCCTCGGCCTCCCAACACCAAAGGTAACTCGGATATGGTGTACGGTACACGGCCTCCCTCTGTATGTTTGCTGGTGCAGTATAAGTAGGAGGCAGACCAGGGTTCGACTCCCTGCGTCCGAATTAGTCTGCGTAGTCGGATGTTTTTTTTTTGGTCTAGGATATCGTCCAACGGGAACGAAATTCAACCATCAGCAAGCGAACGGTCATCCTGTTCGGGGAAGGGCAAGTTGAACCTCGGAATTATGAGGGCAGGTCGAACCTCGGAATCATAAGGGCAACTGCGACTGTGGTTGAATTTCGTCTTTCCTCACCACCACCACTAGACTTTGCTAACCTATTCAACCTCGCAGGTATGAAGGGAAGTCGGACGTGGTGTACGGAAACACGGCCTCCTTAGCTTTCAGCCCATCTTTCGGTTTGAGAGGCAGACCGAGGTTCGACTCCCCGCGCCCGAATACATTCTACAAACGTCGATCCATTTTTTTTAACCTGTCTAGGATCCCATCTGCAGTTTCAAGGTTTGGTCTCTTTATCATCTCATCCATTCCTACAGAGACGAGCATTGAAAACCTCATTCATTAACAAATTTCAGGTTGAATGTTGGTATCGGAGATTGAACTGTTACCCCGCAAACATACTTCAAGTTGAAGGCTTGGAAGAAAACTAGTATATATGTACGTCTTTTTATTTCTCCCTCCCAAAAACTTGGTATCTTATTCGCCCTCACTGTACCTCGGACGTGGTGTACGGTACGGTGCAGTTTAAGTAGGAGGCAGATCGGGGTTCGACTCCCTGTGTCCGAATGTGGCTGGGTTATAAGAATTTGATGTTTTCTTTTTTTTTTTTTGGTAGGAGCCGATCCCATCCTCGAACGAATCTGACTACAGTACCATCGCAACCGAGCGGTAATCCTATCCAGGGAAGAATTCAAGTTGAATGGAGTTTTGGATGGTTAATGCAATGGATGTTGACACTGTGAGGAGAAGTTTCTTCCCCACCACGACAAAATTTGCTAACCTATTCACCCTCAAAGGTATGGAGGGAACTCGGATATGGTGTACGGTACACCGCCTCTTTGCTTTGCTGTGAACCATAGCACTAGAAGCAGATCGGGGTTCGACTCCCCGTGTCCGAATTGAAGGACTTTGCCCCAGTTTTTTTTTCCGATGCAAGATACGGTATCATCGGCGGCTAAGCGAAATTCAACTATCAGCAACCGAACCGTCATCCCATCCATACAGTGAAGAAGTCAAGTTGGATGGAGTTTTGGACGTCGAATGATGAGCGTTGTAAGGGCAACTGCGACAGTAAACTCCCCTGGTTGAATTTCCTCCCCACTGCCGCCAAACTTTACTAACCTCTTCAACCTCAGATGTATACAGATACCTCGGACATGGTGTAAGGAACACGGCCTCCCTCTGTGTGCAGCCCTTCTCGATACAACGCAGGAGGCAGACCGGCGTTCGACTCCCCGCGTCCGAATGACCAGGTCATGAGATTTTTTTTTGTATACACTGTACAGTGCAGGCTATCGATCCCAGCCGGGAGAGAATTACAGTGCCAACGGTCATCCTATTCAGGGAAGAATTCAATTTGGAGTTGGATTGATTTTGGACGTTGAAGGGGCATTGAACCTTGTGAGGATAATTTCTTTCCCTCGGCGAAGACCTTGCTGATTTATTCACCCTCAGCGGTATGAAGGTAACTCGGATATGGTGTACGGTACACGGCCTCTTTGCTTGGGTTGGAAACCGAGAGTAGCAGAGGCAGATCGGGGTTCGACTCCCTGTGTCCGAATGTAAGGTGGTCAGCTCTTTTTTTCCTGGAAACGAAATTCAACTACCAACGCATCCTATGCAGGGGATAATTCAAGTTGGACGTTGAATGGACATTGAACCCCCGTAAGGATAACTGTGACGGTAAACTCTCCTTGTTGAATTTCCTCACCACCGCCAAACTTTGCTAGTTTATTCACACTCACAGTATGGAGGGAACTCGGACGTGGTGTACGGAACACCGCCTCTTTGCTTGGTGAGAAACTGGTGCACTGGAAGCAGATCGGGGTTCGACTCCCCGTGTCCGAATGGGGGGTCTCAACGAGCTTTTTTTCCCCTTTCTATCTAGGATCTCAGCGAAAGAATTCAAGTGTAGTACCATCGCAACAGAATAGCCATCTTATACAGGGATAATTCAAGTTGAAGTTGGATGTTAAACCTCGTGGGTCGTGAAGGTAAACCTTCCCTGGTTGCATTCCTTCCCCACCACCACTGCCAAACTTTGTAGTGACCTATTCAACCTCACAGGTATGAGGATACATCGGACGTGGTGTACGGCACACGGCCTCCCTCTGTATGATTTTCTCTGCAGTGTAGGAGGCAGACCCCGGGTCCGAATGTAGGATTGTACCAGCTTTGTTTTTTCTTCCTGCGAACGAAATACAACTGCCAACGCATCCGATGCAGGGAAGAATCCAAGTTGAACGTAGAATGTTCTTGGATGTTGAACCTCGTAAGGTCTGCGACGGTAAGCTCTCCTGGTTGAATCCCTTCCCTCCACGGACACCGTGCTAACATATTCAACCTCAAAGGTATGGAGGCAACCCGAATTCTGATTCATTGGTAACCTTGTGAACATGACTAAATACCGACTTAATAATACAGACCGCCTGAATTTCCTTGTACGCTACACTCAACCGGCGATGGGAACCTCTGCCTGAGGAGTCAGCCTGACAGCGTGCCTCCTCACAACTTTGTCAAAGTCCACGATAGCTGAGTGTGCGGTCAACCGATTGTCCTGCCAACCCGATCGATGAGTTCGTTCGCATCCACGGGTCAAATAAGCTGAACTCACCCAGACAGCCACTGTGCCAGGTCTGTACGTAGCGCGAATCTGGAAGTCGGCCCCCTTGGAGATATGATCGAACAAGAACTTCAGGAGGTACTCGGATTCCTCTGCTTTATACCCGACGATGCGCCTGGTGAAGCCTTGGTTGACATAGAGGGCCTTCTCGCCGGTGACGGGATGGACACGGACGACAGGATGCTAGGATACGCCACCGAATAAGAATGATGATGGATTAAGATACGGTGTAGGGACTGACCTCGGTTTCCACAGGCTCACGACGGACAGGGCCTCCCCGCTTCCTGGACATATCAGCTTGGGCAACCGCCGAGTGCAAGGCACGAAGACCCTCGAGGCGCTTCTTGAACTCCGGAGAGAGCCGATTGTAAGCTTCTACTTGAGACAGGAATAAGGTGTCTCCGCCGCCGCCCGATTCGGGCTACTTGAAGTCAATTTACCTGAAACCACAACGAACTAAGGGAATACCTGATCAAGGATGAAGAAGAATGTCGTGCCCGGTGTCTGTTTCTCATATGACTACAAGAATATTCAGCACGGACATTGACTGCGACGATTGAGTTTGTTTGCCTACCACATCAGAATGCCAACTGGTTCGGTTCGCCCGGTCATCTCCCAGGTATTCCCGGAATCTATCGTTGTCCGCATCCCGATAGACTAGAAGACGATCAACTAGATGTCTGGCATATTTTGGGAGGTTAACTTACCGACGTGGAATTCTGGATATCCCTTCACGTTTCCGGAAGTAGGGTGCTTCTGAATAGGGCCAAAGTGTCTGGAACTGCTCAACTTTCGAATAACAGCCTTGAAAGGCGCATACCTGGCGATTGCAACCTGCTTCTCCGGACCAATGTCCTTCAAATCTTGGTCGCGGAAAATCAGAACCTTTCTTTCAGCCGCGAGGAGGGCAAGCTCGTCAAGGCCTTCGGCCGACAGTTCGGAAATTTGAACACCGGTGATCTCTGTGCCAAGGTAGGGGCTTATATCGCGGGTGGTGGTGTTCGCGGTGAGCAGATGGGGTTTCGCAGGGTCTGCGCGCGATCCGGGATCCGTGTGTTCTAACAGAAATAGGTTGAATTAGGGCGGGCCAGTCAAATCACACCTACCAAAGATCTCCGTGGGGGGAAACTTCTGATCGTTATCGTAGTACGGGTAATAAAAAGGGTACGATGGTCCCTTCGGCACCTGAGGCTGAAAAGTGAGTGAATAGTGTATCTGTTCAGCTCAGCGTACACACATCCTTCTTGAGGCTCGAGATTATGTCATTGCTGCTAGGCGGAGCTTGGAGATCTGCGACAGAAGGAGCCATGGCGGGATGCTACTCAGATGCGACCTAGCTCGCCTATATATGCGCGCGGCAGCTTCTGGGCGATAAGACATCGCTCGCCATAAGCATGCAATATGATAACGAGACCTTCTATGTTTGGACTATGTGAGATGGGAAAGGATGGGAGGTGGTAAAGGATGTGCTTCGGCAGGCGAGCTTAGAGCAGAGAATGGCGCAACTTGACACCATCTTACATGTCAAGAACATAACGGTTTTAGGCCCAACTGACCTTCATAACTGCTTACATCTGTGTTTGGAAGATAAGCCTTGTCTCCTGCCGTTATCTACGCTATCCAGTGGCAACCACTGCACACAGTCAAGGTCAGGGAACTTGAAGTGAAAACTGAAACACCGAAACTTACTTACCTGTAGCTGTTTGACAACGGTTGAACTACGGCAGCAATCTTAAATTTCTGAATATTCGTTAACTGGATTCTGAGTAGTCGGGCCCTCGGCATGGACGACGAACGCTTGGATGTGGCGGTTTTGTGGATTTTGGCAGTGGACGATGCCGAAACGGGACTAACGGGAGCCCGTGCCGACAAGCCGGCGTCGGGTCGGATGCTTTCTTGCCGGATTTGGTGGGATGACGAATAACTCTTTTTCTTTCACCACCATGTCGCCAAAGGAATATCCCGTCTTCGATACGAAAGGAATGCCCTTCCGTAGGCTGGGCCCTAGCGGTTTACGTGTGCCTCTGCTGTCTCTCGGAGGCTGTATGTTTTCTTTATCCGAATTTAGATTGATCCATCGATCTTACTTTATCCTCTTTCAAGGGCTGACTCTGGGGGGATCTGTGAACGGAGATCCTGTCAAGGTGAGTTTATTCAAGGTTTTGACGCGTCGTGCGGCATCTGAAAAAACTCCAGGAAATCATCCAGGCCGCGTTTGAGAATGGGATCAATATGTTTGACACGGCGGAGGCGTACGCGAAGGGGAACTCAGAGATAGAGATGTTGGGCGGATTGCTTTTCTCTTCGACGATCTCACTGATTTTAATCCAAGGGGACGCGTCATCAAAGAGCTCGGCTACCGACGGACAGACTTGGTCATCACGACTAAGCTTTTCTGGGGCATTCGCACCGGGCCCAACGATGGGGGACTCTCGCGCAAGCAGTGCGTGAATTTACTGTCGGCAGATGGAACGTCACTCACGTCTCGTATAGTGTCATCGAGGGCACCCAGGAGGCTCTTGAACGCCTTCAAATGACCTACGTCGATGTTATCTTTGCCCACCGCTACGACCGCACTGGTGGGTCTGTCCCCCTCATTCGGTTCGCAGTATTGTTGAATTTTGTCTAGTACCGATGGAGGAAATCGTACGAGCATTCAACTACGTGATCGAGAAGGGCTGGGCCTTCTACTGGGGAACCTCGGAGTGGAGTGCACATGAGATTGAAGAAGCACACCGTGCGTATCACCGCTATTCTGACAATATTGCGCTGATATATCGCAGACATCGCAACCAAACTCAACCTCATCGCGCCGATCGCCGAGCAGATGCAGCACAAGTAAGTACGCGACGCGATTTTCCGACCATCACTGAGTTGTGTAGCATGTTCCACCGCGAACGTCCGGAGAAGGAATACGCGTGGGTTACATTTTACTCCCGCATGTGTTGGTATTTACGCGCCCGCGCGCAGCCCGCTGTACAAGAAATACGGCTACGGCACGACGGTGTGGTCGCCGCTCGCCTCTGGCCTGCTCACCGGCAAGGTGTGTCAGTGTTTCCCGTATATCTCGGCTTTCATAACTCTCCGCAGTACAACGACGGCATCCCAGAGGATTCGCGCTTCGCCCGGGAGAATATGTTCAAGGGCCGTGCGCAGACCCTTGCCACCTCCGAGGGCCTTGCCCAGATCGAAAAGGTCAAGGAGCTCACGAAGATCGCCACTAGTACGTGTCGCATTCGCCTTCGTGGCTCATCCTCTAATTTTGATCACAGGCCTTGGGTCGACGCCGACCGCCCTCGCGCTCGCATGGCTTGCGAAGAACAAGAACACGTCAACAGTCATTCTCGGCGTGACGTCCGTGCCTCAGCTGCTGCAAAACCTCGAGGCGCTCAAGGTGCTCCCCAAGATCACGGATGACCACCTTGCACAGATCGAGAAGATCTTGGGCAACAAGCCGGAGGACTTCGTAAGGGTTTTCTCGTCCGTTGTTAAGAGTGTCACTAACCCAAAGCAGCCGACGTACGGACGCCCCTTGCTGGATTCGTTTGGGAAGCTTTAAAGCGAGGTAGACAACGGCGTGAATTATGTGACGGTGCAGTCAAGATACATGTACCTAGATTCTCAGAATGAGATGATGTTGACCCTGTGACCAGGGCGGACCGAGGAAGTTTTGTCAACCGGTAGGTGATTTATACGGCTCGCTCGCACGCTCAACCTCCGCCCACTTCCCTCACACCACCATGTCGATCGATACACACCCCAAGTATTCCCCCAAGGAGATGCCATTCAGGCGATTGGGCCCCAGCGGGTTGCGTGTTCCACTCTTTTCCCTCGGAGGGTGTAAGTCTCGCCAGACAATGCTCGGACATCTGACAGATTTGCTCTCATGTAGGGCTCACCCTTGGTGGCTCGGTCGTTGGCGACCCGGTCAAGGTTTG